AAAAAGAAACTATTCTGGAGGGTTTGAAGAAAGAAACCAGGGCTGGGATGTCAGCCCAAACGTCGGTGGAAGGCGTGACCGCTACCACCGGCACCGGGCACGGGGGGGAGCAATCCTCTCTGCGTGTCGCCAGTGGTTACACCTCTGATGTGACGGGAGCAGGTCATGTCAGTTGCAACGCTACTGCCGAAAAAACTACGCAGGGGAAGTTGAGCCGCTCACGTGCCATAGTCGATACATACTCGGACCTTGAGAGCGTGCAGCTTCTCCACTCACCGAAACCAGGCACCAGCTCCGAGCGCAGGGACGGGCCAAAGCGGTCAAGCGAGGGAATGAAGGCCAAGGCGATGTACAAGGCTGCCCTCCGCATCCAGGATCGGCTCCAAAAAAAAAGACGCCCTATCCCCAGAGGAGAAGGCAAAGCTTACCTGGGCTGAGGAGAAAATCGCTGAGGGGAGGCTTCACTTCGCCAAACTCCCCCATATGAGTTCGACTCGCGGATTCGCCAACAAGGTGGAGGAGATGCTTGCCAACAAAAGGCAACGCTCAACCGAAAGTGCCTCTATGGACGCACCGGGGAGCAAGCGGCAACGCGGGCCTATGGAGGGAGGCCCTCCTCAATTGGCAAAAAAGCCCAAAAAAACCGCAAAAGTCAGTGAGGTGACCAAACGATACCTGATCGTGGCCCTCATTGACAGAAGCGATGAAGCCGGCAAAATGACCGAGGCGCAGTGGAAGATGGTGCATGCGCGGCTCGTTGAGTTATTGTACGCACGGATGGAGGATGATCTCGAAGCTCCCATGCCCACCTTCGATGGTGCTGGGTGGCTAAATGGGGTCAAAATCCTAAAGTGCATGGATGAACCGACGAGAAAGTGGCTGACGCAAGCGGTCTGCCAGTTGGAGGCGCTGTGGGAGGGAGCCAAGCTAGAGGTGGTGGACCGGAAGCTAATCCCATCCACTCCAAAAGCGAAGGTACTCTTCCCCATCGCAATCCAAACGGACCGGGCACTGAAGCTGCTGCAGCGTCAGAACCCGGATATCCCAACCGCAGACTGGAAGGTTCTGCACGTTGCGGCCCCATCACCCAAAGAGGGGAGGGGGGCAAAGTGCAGTCCTCCAGATAAACAAGGAGGCAGGGGACATCCTTTATCCCAGATACGGGAAGATGGCGTGGGGCATGGGTAGTGTATACCTGCGCCTCAAAAAGCGCCACCCCGGGGATAAGGTTGCTCACACCCTGAAGGCAGATGTGGTGGAGGACCTAGGTCTGGAAACCATCGTGGATGCCGACCGGGAAATGACGCTGGATGAGTCCGACGAAGGAGAGGACGGTGACCTGACCGTAGTAGTCAACCCGTCGTATGGAGGTGAGACCAGTACCCATGACACTCAGGGTGCTGCAGCTCAACCTCCATAAGAGCAAGGTCGCGTCGGCGGAACTCCTCATAGCCATGGAGCAAGGATCCGCCGACATAGCTTTGGTCCAGGAGCCATGGATCGCCTCAGGCAATGCCATCGCCGGACTGAAGTCCGCAAATTACAATTTGCTCCATCCACCAACGGTAAGCAGGAATAGAACCGCCGTACTTTTACGGAAGGATCTACACGCTAACCTTATGTCTCACTATAGCTCTGATGACCTGACCGTGGTGATGCTAGAGAGCGGGAAAAAACACGTTTTGGTAGCTTCCTGCTACATGGCACACGACAGAACACATGAGCTTGGTAGAAGCCAGCCCGAAGGACCAGCAACTGCTCGTGGGTGCAGACGCCAACGCGCACCACTGCGTATGGGGAAGCCCCGACATAAACGACAGAGGTGAGTCCCTCTTAGACTTTATACTCTCAACCAACCTGAGTATAGCAAACGTGGGGGAAGAACACACCTATGTAGGTCCCACCTCCTCAAACGTGCTAGATCTTACTCTGGTAAGGGGACAAGGTACTTTGGTATCAGAATGGAGAGTCCTTGAGAGACCATCCTTCTCAGATCATAAGTACATACGGTTCCAATACGCATTCCAACACTCTCCAAAGCAATCAGTCTTCAGGAACCCCCGGAATACTAACTGGGGAAAGTTCAAGGAGACTATCGTGACACGGCTCGCGATCTCTCCGGGCATAGTAGAATCCGCGGAAGACATAGAAAAGTCCCTAGAGACACTCTCCAAAGAACTGCTGGATGCGTACCACGCATCATGCCCTATATCTGGTGGAATAAGGACCTTTCACTCCGACGCAACAAACTCAAAGAATTCTTCAAAATCGCCAAGCAGGCGAAAGATGATATCATCAATGAGGAATACAAAGTCCTACTAAGGGACTACAAGAAGGAAATACGCAAGGCGCAGAGAAACTCATGGAGAAACTTCTGCTCCAATATAGAGACTGCCCCGGAAACGGCTAGACTCCGGAAGCTGCTATCGAAGCAGCCAACCATACAGAGTCAGCTCAAACGCGACGATGGACAGTGGACTGAGGGCAGCGAAGAGGCCTTAACAGCACTAATGAACGTGCATTTCCCAGGATGCACTGAGGTACCCGATGCAAATAAGCACCAGGACCTAGCAACTGGAGTAGATCATCTCCCAAAAGGTTTAATATCCTCTGGTAGAATCCACTGGGCTATAGACTCCTTTGCGAGGATAAAAGCACCAGGACCAGATGGAATATTTCCAGCCATGCTGCAGGTGACCAAGGAGGTGATCACCCCATGGCTTTACGCAATGTATACAGCTTGTTTAAGCACGGGCTATATCCCTACCCAATGGAGGACCTCTCGGATTGTCTTCCTGCCCAAAGCAGGAAAGTGCAGCCACGTGAGCCCCAAGGATTACAGACCGATAAGCCTCACCTCATTCCTACTTATAACGCTGGAAAAGCTGCTGGACCTATATATCAGGAACGATGTAGGGAGACAACTGTCGACCAACCAGCACGCCTACACGAAGGGGAAATCAGTGGAGACGGCACTACATTCGTTGGTAGCCACCATTGAGAGAGCCCTAAACAATAAGGAGTATGCACTTGGAGTGTTCGTGGACATATCCGGGGCATTCAACAACGTTAGCACGGACGCAATAATGGATCGCCTAGAAGCGACCAACTCGTCCCCCGCTATCAACTTGTGGATAAAAAATCTTTTAAGTTGCCGGCGAGTACAATCAGATTGGGGCACCGCTTCCATGGTGAGAGGAGCGCACAGAGGCACGCCGCAAGGTGAGGTGGGGGTGTGGTAGACGACCTAATCAAGAGAAATCGAGAGGGAAGCACCAAAGATAACAGCTTATGCGGATGACATAAGCATAATTATCTCGGGAGTCTGTCCATCGACCCTCAGCTCGATCATGGAAACAACACTCAGGGAGATATGTGAGTGGGCGGAGAAGGTAGGACTCAATATCAATGCGGATAAGACGGACCTTATTCTCTTCACCAAGAGATACAAGGTGCCGCAATGGATCCCCCCGAAAATTAACAATACCAAGCTGACCCCGAAAACACAAGTCAAATACCTCGGCAATGTACTTGAAAGCAAGCTGACGTGGAGAGCAAATGTTTTAGAGAGGATAAAAAAAGGCCACCATAGCGCTATTTGCATCCAAGAAGATGCTTAGCAGCACATGGGGCCTCTCACCCGACTCTGCTGTATGGAGTCTTAGTGTGGTGGCAAGCCACGGAGAAGAAAACGTATAATAAGCTTATGGAGAGAACCCAGCGACAGGCACTGCTCTGCATATCAGGGGCGCTGAGGTCAACCCCCACCAAAGCACTCGAAACCATAATCGGTATATATCACGGAACAACGTCTGGTTGCATCAGGAAACTGGTCGCTACAAGGTTTCGGGCACAGTTCAATTGGTCGAGACATGAGCAGTACATATGACTACATGATACCCAGAACGTGCCCGGATGTAAACACAACAGAATTCATGGGACCAAATGACTGGAAGTCAGGCCCGGACCATGCTCAATACCTCAATATATACACCGACGGCTCCAAGATGGAAGGAGGAGTTGGAGCGGGCATATACTGTTCAGACCCTGAAATGAGGCTGTCGTATAAGCTACCAAGCTACTGCAGTATATTCCAGGCGGAAGTATTCGCCATCAGGAAAGCAGCAGAGTTTGCGCAGAGCATAAACCGTTCACATGAGGCGGTCAATTTGTTCGTAGACAGTCAAGCGGCGATAAGATCCATGCAATCATCAGCGGTCAGTTCCAAAAATGTACTGGCAAGCAGGGAGTCACTAGATAGCCTAAGCACGACTAAGTCAGTGAGGATCTACTGGGTTCCCAGCCACCAAGGCATAGACGGTAACGAAACCGCGGACGAACTTGCAAAGGAAGGCGTTGGACTGGCGAGTGAAATAACAGAAAACGTCCCTATCTCCCTAAGAACGCTCCAAAGCGAGCTAGAATAACGGGCTGAAACAAGCGCAAAAAGCAGGTGGAGGAGTAATTCCGCAACCTGCAGAATATCAAAAATCATGTGCAAAGAACATAACGAGAAACTCACCCACTACGTGCTGCATCTTCCGCGGAAGGACTGCAGAATGTTAGTGGGTATTCTTACAGGTCACTGCCTGTCTGCTGCACATGCAGTCAAGCTGGGTATTACCGACAACGCCAAATGCCGGAAATGTGATGAATCCGAGGCAATCGAAACCTTGGAGCATCTCATTTGCAAATGTCCGGCCCTAACAAGGGCAAGAATGAGATACCTAGGCTCTCCAGATGCCTCCAGCCAGGTCAACTCCTTGCCTTTGCGAAAAACACCTTAATATTCAAGGATCTCGAAACCCGCATAAATAGTCTCTAGGTCCATCAAGGAGTTTCCCCGGATAGCTGTGGGCCATATTGGCCTATGTGTGACCCTTCGAGGGCCGTCCGGTCTAACCTAACCGAACCTAATCTACCTTATTTATGCGATCGGAGACGACTCTTTCTGATCGTTATAAAGTTGGTTTTAAAGAAAATTAAATATTTAACACAAATTTTTGAACTAAGTTTATTATAAAAGGAAAATAATTGTGACTTCAGTGTACATAGCAATCAAATGAAAACTAGAGTTTTTGTTATTTTATTTGTGAAAGCAGTAGTTTTACGTCAACTTAAGCATATTATTTGCACACCTTGCGGCACTGTCAAAGCTTAGCATATTCTTTTGCAATTCTTTTAACATTTCAATGTGCTGCTTGTGAATCTTTGTATTGACATATTTGTATTTTACGCCATTTATTAGTTTTGCAACTAAGTAGGAAAGCCATAGGATATTGGTTTTCGGGGAAAAAGAAGCCCAGTTGTTTCTGAAAATATATAAAAAAAATATAATAATAATAATAAATAATATTGCGAAGAATTAAACATCTATATAAGTATCGATATAATTACAGCTGTTCGGATATAGTCCATTTAATAGTTCTAATTAATTTTAATAAGACTTAAACTATGATATTTTGCAGTCAAATAATTACTCATATATGATTTTATTGCTGGCTTGTTCGCTATTTTACTAATAATGCGATATGTTATACTCTGCACCATTCCCCAATAAGCCTCACTTGTGAACTTTTGACTTGTTTACTCTCCTCAACAAATAGCGACCGGCTATCTTTACCCTGCTTGTGCGCTTAGGTATTATGTCGAGGCTCTATGTAATCCTCTTCTGAGTAATTATGCGATCCCAATTCCATAGTTATATCCACATTTTTGTACGCAGTCTTCCATATACAATCATTTACAAATACAAATACAAAACAAGAAAGGAAGCTAACTTCGGCACGCCGAAGTTTGTATACCCTTGCAGATTGGTTTTCGTATTTATATTATAAATTATAATGCCGAAAACAGACACTAAACAGAGTTTCATAACATTTTACCTATACTTATTATGTTTACAGTTTGACAGTTACAGTTATACATTCCCAGCTTTACATTTTCTCTACATCTACGGATCGCAGCTATATGTTATAGTTGTCCATTTTTCATAATATTGTTACCAAAATTCTGAAATAATACTAAAAGCTCATGTCTCAAAGTAGATGAAAATACGTTGAAAAACAACGAAGTTATAATATTTTTTATTACTTTCCTTATCGTTCCTATGGCAGCTATAAGATATAGTCGTCCGATTTTTATAAAATTTATACCAAAATTCTGAAATAATACCAGAAGCTCATGTCTCAAAGTAGATTAAAATACGTTGAAAAACAACGAAGTTATAATTTTTTTTCGATTCATTTCCCGATCGTTCCTATGGCAGCTATAAGATATAGTGGTCCGATTTTCATAAAATTTTTAACGAAATTCTGGAATAATATAAAATGGCTATATCTCAAAAATGATGGAAAATTATTGAAAAACAGCCAAGTTATAATATTTTTTCCAAAAATTTATCGAACATTTGTATGGCAGCTATATGATATAGTTGTCCGATCCGGCCCGTTCCGGGGTTTTGCGCGAAGTGCGTTGGCATGTTAATTCTACGTATATAACATGAGAACAAACTAGAAAACTTGAACCTAGCTTGGGAGAGCGTACTGGAAGCTTTATGGACTGGAAGTTCGGAGAGAGAGGGAGAAAGCGTACGGGAGATTTTAAGGCTGTCAGCGGGATCATACTACCTTGTTATTGCCAGAAGAAGGTTATAGCATAAGAAAATGTTGGGAAAACCTTCTGGAAAAGTCCCTAGCGGCTCAACAGATGTACACACTGTTGTATGTAAATTTCTGAAACACCCTGAAACAGATCATAACTGCGTTGAGATTGTGTATCAATGCAATCGGTAAAAAAAATATTGAAACAAAAAAGTCGAGTTAACGCAGCATTACTAAAGTGAGCTTAAACAATTGGAAATAATGCCTGCTGTTAGACGATCAAGACTTGGACGGCGTTCAAGCAATGCAACAAGTAGTCAGAATTAGCCGGACGCAAGAGGAACGTACAGAAAGAAATGCATCGATACGTGCCCAGATGGCACAGCTTCGCGCTTCACAAAGACCACCTTAAGCCCGACAAAATAATAGAGGAAGACGAACCGCAAATGAAAACTTGATTCGCGCTGCATTCGCATACAATTCTGAAACACCCTACAAAGATCATTGCTGCGTTCTTATTGGTTCATTGTCTGTCGTATATCAGCATTGCAATGCACTGAAGTTTCGGTTGGAAACCCCCGGCTTATGCTGTGCACGTGGCAAAATTAAATTAACCGTTTTTGATCATCCACAAGAGCCATTGTATTCGCTACTATATCGAAATTCAGCCCAAAGTTTCCTAAAGCTTGCACAAAAATATAAAGGATGCTTTCAAATGACGTCATTTGGAGCCGAGGTTGTTAATCGATCAGGCTACAATCCAACTTATAAAGTAATGGCGTCTCTTTATTATCAAAATGAACAACTCTCATTTTTTCGAAATTGCATCCCAACATTCAGGTTCAAGGCCAAATTCACCACCGAACGGGCGCTTTGTTACCACCACAAAACAAAGATTATAATTTCCTTCAGATCTATTTCATTGGTGATTCGGCAGTTGATCTAAATCACCGCTGTCCAATATTTACTGCAACTAAACGTGAAATTATCGAAGAATTGCAAATATTCTCCATTAGCATAATGAATTGGTTAGATTGTTCATTGGTTAAAATTCATTATGACGAACACAAAAGACTCACTGTGGCGCCATACAAGACAATTTAATGCTCCCACTATCAATGAAGTCGCAGTGGTAATTGTTGGCGAGAATGTGGAATCACGCGATATTGTTTTTAAGCGTCGGGATAATGAGACTCATCGGTCATATGATGTTCTTCAATACCTGTTGATGTTCTGTCGTGGAGAATATGGGTATCACTTCAACATAAAGATGGTCAATACAACGACAGGTTTGTTTACAAGTCATCACTTCTTTTTGATTTTACAACTAAGTCTGAATTCAAATTTTAGGAGAAGATAGGAATAAGAAGGTCAGCCCTATGAATTTATATGCGTATCGATTGATGATGTTTCAACAGCACTGTTTCGACATGTACGTCAAAGTAGAAACTGAACGTCTCAATTTCATTTGATTTAATCAGTCGAAGTTGGGGCGAGATAAAGTTCGCCGGGTCCGCTAGTTAGACTATAAAGAATCGATCCATTTTCGTCAAATAAATAAGATACGATAGTGGAGTTATCGTGTGGCGCACACACTCGAATACGATTGCGAAAAAAAGAGTCGAATAAAACGACGCTAAAATAAAAATCAAGTTATCACAACTCATAGGCCATAGTTAAAACGGTATTTAATTTCAAGTTTAGGCTAAATAAAAACCGAATGAAAGTTTTTGGATACATTTTATGTTTAGTATTGTAAGGATTAATAAAATGTTATTTCTATTTAAACATATCTATGAGACACGACGTTGAATTGGGGAGAGATTTTATAATGCATGGATATAATTATACACTAGGCAAATAAATTTAAGGTTCATTTTATACTTTTATGTGTTTCTATCAAATTAACGGTGTCGTGTGTCACATTGATTTGCCTTAACAGCCTTAACGAAACGTGAGTCCTCGGGACACTTATCCTTTATCAAATGCATTATAGTTTTTAGATATCGGTTGTTTTTGTGGAGAGTTAGGATGTACACCGAAAACCAACTTTTTTTTTTAGGAGACTCAAGAGATTCCCAAAACAAAATTAAAAACAAAAAACTCCAAATGTTGTTGTTTAAACGGTACTCAATTCATTAAGCTAACTTAAGCCGTTTTGCCACAACATTTTTTTGAATAATGGCCAGTTTTGTACCGAACAGAAAAGTGTGCCTTTCTACGTACTGGAGTGGAGTATCTCAGATTTTACGTTGAAGATGGCGAAATTAAACCAAATCCAAGTAAGATTGAGGTCCTTTCCCCACCAACTACTGCGACGCAATTAAGACAATTTATAGGTCTGGCTATTGGCTATTGGTTTATTCTAGCAAGAGTACAACAGCTTCGGAAGTTAAATATGAAATGCCGTGAACGGTAGAAAATTTGTTTTGCACACTCACTGTCATTCAATAAAAGCTGCGCAAACGAAGTTGAGTTTTTTTTTTTATCACAAAACCCAATTTCCACAGTTTCTACAGTCATCCCTAGGATAGCAGAGGTTCGTGTAGATCTAGCAGCAAAAACAAATATTTGGCTGATATCTAAAATGAATAGAGAAACATGGAAGGAAATGTAATAAAAATATATGAAATTAGAACTGGCCTACTATACACGAAAGATACAGCATAATGGCAAGACTCGTTATTTACCAGTGATTCCTAAGGCGTTTAGGTGGTCTGTATTAAATAATGTGCACAAGGCCTTGATGCACGTAGGATGGCAGAAACTCTAGACAAAGTTAATGAACAATTCTGGTTTAATTTGGTATTTAACCAAACCCTCTTCTAGAAAGCTACAAATGTAACTACACCCAATTCCTAAGATTGAGATACCATGGCATACCATCCATGTACCAGGGGTGTTAGTTGAAGTTTTCCGGTTTTACTGTTGATGGCGCTAGCCGTACTATATACATTTGTATCATTCGGCATATGTGTCATTTTTTTCTGTTGACATTAATCTAAAGAAATACACATTTCGCATTCCGTCAAAATAAAAATATCATACTTTTTTACCATGCCCACCTTCGATGGCGCTGGGTGGCTAAATGGGGTCAAAATCCTAAAGTGCATGGATGAACCGACGAGAAAGTGGCTGACGCAAGCGGTCTGCCAGTTGGAGGCGCTGTGGGAGGGAGCCAAGCTAGAGGTGGTGGACCGGGAGCTAATCCCATCCACTCCAAAAGCGAAGGTACTCTTCCCCATCGCAATCCAAACGGACCGGGCACTGAAGCTGCTGCAGCGTCAGAACCCGGATATCCCAACCGCGGACTGGAAGGTTCTGCACGTTGCGGCCCCATCACCCAAAGAGGGGGGGGCAAAGTGCAGTCCTCCAGATAAACAAGGAGGCAGGGGACATCCTTTATCCAAGATACGGGAAGATGGCGTGGGGCATGGGTAGTGTATACCTGCGCCTCAAAAAGCGCCACCCCGGGGATAAGGTTGCTCACACCCTAAAGGCAGATGTGGTGAAGAAGGACCTAGGTCTGGAAACCATCGTGGATGCCGACCGGGAAATGACGCTGGATGAGTCCGACGAAGGAGAGGACGGTGACCTGACCGTAGTAGTCAACCCGTCGTATGGAGGTGAGACCAGTACCCATGACACTCAGGGTGCTGCAGCTCAACCTCCATAAGAGCAAGGTCGCGTCGGCGGAACTCCTCATAGCC